GCCTGAAGTCCCTCTTTTGCCGAGCCCAAGTCTGAAACGTTGTCTTACCCTCTTTCAAGGCTCCTTGGTTTTTCCATAGCGAAGGCAGTGTAAAGGCAGAGTGTCTCGAAGAGGCTACCATTGACATGGCCATTGTGAATCAGTTGATGCTGTGTGGCCTATGTCCCATAGCAACAGCTATCCCTGGCATGGTGAGACTCAGGGAGTCAGGTATTAGCCCCAGATCTAGGCTGGCTCCCTAAGGGGTTGCTGCTGTGCAGCTCTTGAGTAATACAGACTTTGGGGCTGTATTTCTATTAGCTCTTGGCCTTTGGTAGTTCCCTTACCATATGACTTCTTCCAACAGCAGAAGCTCTAATGTTCCTTGGTAAGTTCCCTTTACCTTCACAGATATGCCCCGTAGGCGGACTGTAATGATTCAAACAATACTATAACTCATAATTTGCCTAAATTATCCTTATTCTCAGCCCAGGCCACACTACTCCTGATATCCGTTAATCTGCTCATTCTTTGAAACTCAACATTCTGGCAGGAGGTAGGGGGAGGGGACAGGGATTCTTTGGGGATCTCTGAGCAGGACAACGTTCTCTGTGCCCACTACCTCCTTTCCTCATTTCCATAATTTTCAGGATACTGTTTCTCAGCCCAACCCTCCTTTGTCAGCCTTTGTTCATGAGAGATGAGTTTAGACATTTTGTATCTGTATGTAAACATAATTTTTCCCTACTATGAAGTTTTCCTAATGCACATATCAAGTGATAAATGAAATAAAGCTTAGTTTTACCATGGAAGTATACAAGTGACTAGGATCATCATTCAATTCCTCCCAACTGCCCCAACATAAAAACAAACTCTGATTAGGTATCTAGTTACCATTTCATCAAGAAAATAAAAAATGGGGGTGCCTGGGTGGCTCAGTCGTTAAGCGTCTGCCTTCAGCTCAGGTCATGATCCCAGAGTCCTGGGATCAAGCCCCGTATCGGGCTCCCTGCTCAGCAGGAAGCCTGCTTCTCCCTCTCCCACTCCCCCTGCTTGTGTTCCCTCTCTTGCTGTCTCTGTCAAATAAATAAATAAAATCTTTAAAAAAAATTATTATAAAAAAGAAAATAAAAAATGGACTGTATAATATTTTTTTAAAGATTTCTTCACTCTTGTAACTAAAATTGAACTGTAATGTCTGAATAAGTCTTTGGATTTGGTTTTGTGTCAATTTCCTGGTGTATTTAGCAGTAATTTTAAAGGGGAAAAAAAAAACATTATCCACTTTCCTTGCACAGTTATTCTCCCATACATTCTATGATGAACTAAAAAATAAGACTGTACATCTTTTATCTTGCATAAAAGTAATTTTATATCATGTAAAATATTTACAATATAAAACCTTTAAAATAAAGGATATGACTATAAGTAACACTAAAAAATGGGGATACACCCTATCTAATTCAAAAAGGAATGGTACAGGGGCATCTGGGTGGCTCAGTCGGTTGAACCTCCTGACTCCTGGTTTTGGCTCAGGTCATGATCTCAGGGTTGTGAGATCAAGCCCTGCGTCAGGCTCTGTGCTCAGTGAGGAGACCACTTGAGATTTTCTCTCTCCCTCTGCTTCTGCCCCTCCGCCCACTCACACTTGCTCTGAGCATCAAATAAATTAATTAAAAAAAAAAAGGAATGGTTCAGTACCACAAGTTCTCAGCTATGAGCAGGAGAGCAGATCAACTCAATAATATTTAATTCCTAATACAGATTTTAAAATTTACCATTAGCATCTGGCAATGGAACTTGTACTGTCATATCACAAATCCATTAAAAAATTTATAGCAAAAAAGGTAAAATAATTTCTAGCTAGATTTCTTCTTGTATTTTATATAAGAGGAGAAAGCCTCTCAAAATTATATAATTTGAAAATTATCACAGATTTAAGGTATTTCCCTTATTTTAACCACAAACAGGCAGGGCAAATCAGGTTAAGTCATTTTGTAGGATAAAATAAATCAATAATGAAAGAACACTTCTATTTTTTAAATAAATAAAAATATAACTAAGTATATCCAATTTTCTAATTCTCAAATTGAAACACATTTTCTTCAAAATACACATGCACATAAGCGTTCACAAACAAAATCTGATTTGTATCATTTAAACTCTTTAACCAGTAATTCCTTCAATTTGTTCTTTCTTACATGAATACAACAAGCTCTTTTTTAAAAAGCTGTCCTATCTTTTTAATTATTTTTCATTTCTTAAGTAAGCTCTACGCCTATTATGGGATTAGAACTCATAACCCTGACATCAAGAGTCGCAGGCTCCACCGGCTGAGCCAGCCAGGTGCCCCTAAAAAGCGTATCTATTTTTAGCTTTGAAGGGCTAAAAAGTGGGGTGCCTGCATGGCTCAGTTTGTTAAGCATCTGACTCTTGATTTCTGCTCAGGTCATGATCTCAGGGTCATGGGATTCAGCCCTGTGTCGGGCTCAGCACAGAGTCTGCTTGTCCCTCTCCCTCTGCTCTTCTCCCTGCTTGCACTCTCTCTCTCAAATAAATAAAATCTTTAAAAAAAAACAAAAACTAAACTAAAAATCTATCCTATGTTTCAAACAGTAAATTTCTGACAGGTATTCTCCTGTGCTCATACAATATATTAAAACCATGAAGATACACAAATTGTTTTACATCAAGCAGATCTGTAACTATGTGAAGTTGATAGGCAACTGAGTGGTAAGTAATGGCTTTAAACAGAGGGTTAGCAAATCATGTGGGAAAACTGGAGACTCTAACTTCCTGCCTACAAGAACTGTTCTTACAATGTGAACTTCCTGCAGGTACAGGCATTTAGAGTCTGGAAAAGATGAGGATGATTTTGTCTCACTTCCAGTTACATGCGGAATTTGCCCTATCAGTCAGCCTGACTGGCATGTCAAAGCAGAATTTGCTACTAGCCTACAAACTCCAAATAAAACTCCACTTGGAAGACCAAACAGTGCTGAGTCCTTTGGGAACTACTGTTTTGTCAAGAATCCAGAATAGGACCCGCTTTTCTATGACAACTGGACCATCCTCCAGGGCATTCACAAACTTCCAGCATGGTACTCTCGTATGGACATATCTGGACATAGCGTTTATTTTGGGGGCCAGATTAATTCAGTCTGGTAAGACTAAGACATGGGCAACTGCTGCTTTGAGTTAAAGGAAGCACTATTTTTGTTTTGTTTTGTTTTTAAAGATTTTATTTATTTGACAGAGAGAGAGACAGCAAGAGAGGGAACACAAGCAGGGGGAGTGGGAGAGGGAGAAGCAGGCTTCCCACTGAGCAGGGAGCCCGATGTGGGGCTCCATCCCAGGACCCCGGGATCATGACCTGAGCCGAAGGCAGACACTTAACGACTGAGCCACCCAGGTGCCCAGGAAGCACTATTTTGGATGTCCTTCTAGATCATGCCTAAGATTCACCACACACAAAGGAAAAAAATCATCCTGAGCCTTTGGAAGACACCTAAGTAACAAATTGAGAAGAGAATGGTAGACTGGGCATACCAGAAGTTTCCTCTGAAGAAAAAGAGTAACAAAGCAGCCTTCCTCTCTCCAGCCAATATCTCTGCCTGCATTTCACTAAAACACAATAATTTGATTCAACACTTAATTCAACTCTCAGCTAAGTCTTCTGGTCAGTAAATAAGAAAATCTATTGTTTTCCTCTGCTGCCTAACTCTTAGATTTTGCCATTTAAAGGTATCGAATTCTCAGGGCCCCTGGGTGGCTCAGTCGGTTAAGCGTCTGCCTCCGGCTCAGGTCATGATTCCAGGGTCCTGGGATCAAGCCTGGCATCAGGCTCTCTGCTCAGCGGGAAGCCTGCTTCTCCCTCTGCCCCTCCCCCTGCTCGTGCTCCCTCTCCCTCTCTCTCTCAAATAAATAAAATCTTAAAAAAAAAAAAAAGTATTGAATTCTCCTTACACAGTATCCATTTACAAGTTATTCATCACCTAAGATTAGGGAGCCTTACCTCAAAAAATATCTATTACCTAATGTAATAAGGTAATTCTTACAAAATACTTTGTGTTTTTATCCCACATTTCCAGTCAGTCACATACATATGGGGCATACTAACCAAATGTCATTCTGAAGACATGCTAAGCAAAGTGGAAGAGTTACAAAGTGAGCTCTGTGAGATCAATTTTGATTGAAGAGAATGTGATGGGATGAAAGTGAAGAACTGTGCCTACAGACTGTCTTCCTCTGCTCTGTAAATTGGAATTCACCTGCTAGCCCTTCTATTTACCAACACAGGCATCCACCAAAAACTGCTACAATAAGTAAACAAATAAATAAAAATGGTTTATGGAAGCCCATGTGCACAACAGAAAACTAAAAAAGCATCCAGCCTTATTTTCTATTCAAACAGCTGATCTCTGGGCCAAAACCACCCTTCCTGAAAATGAAGGGTACTGAACAAAATAAATGCAGCCTGGGGATGCCAACATTAAGCGCAGGCCAAACCATTTGACAGTAAAACGGCAGCTTTCAGAGAAAAAAACTGGACCACCTTAGGTGTTAACCCAATAGTTCAGTTTACATGATATGTGACTTTCTCAGAAAAATCATCCAATAAAAAGAGCCAGGAGAACAGAGAAAAAGATGAAAAAGCAACAGAGCTTGGTGAGGCCTGCGGGGAAGGGGAGAGGACTGAGCGGGACCTCAGATGAACAGAATGAAGCTCTGATCCTACATGAAAAGAATAAACTCAAAATCCCATTAGATTTAAGAAACACACCAATACCTTTTAAAAGATATGGCAAAAAAGAAATGTTACTACTTTTCTCAAAATAATCAGGGACAAGAAAAATGAGGACTCAGATCCCTGCCTCCTCCATCATGGGAGTTGGCATCCTGTGGGTTCCAGCAGGCAGTCTGCAGTATGGATCCACAAAAATTTTTTGGCACCAGAGGTAAATCTACCAATCGTGCAGAAAGCAAATACACATGGCAAGTGAAACCAGATTCCACAGTACTTGATTCACCTGTTTACTAAACAGGTCAGTATAGTCGGTCCTTTGTCTACCACTGGCAAATGGTTTTTGTACACTTTATTACAAATAAAACAATCTTGTTTGACGATACCATCTGTCATCTTACAAACATATGAGAAAACAGTCCTAGAGTAATAGTATATCTCTAGGAACTGAGCTTTTCTTAAAAACAAACAAATGAACTATACTATGAATAAGTCCTGTATCTAAATCTATACAGCATCTTTAAGTAATGTGGAAATGAAATTATGATTTATTAATTTACATAAAAATTACTTTATACATTAAAGAATAATTTTTCAAATTGTTAAAAAAACGAAGTCTGAAGCTGTCATTATTGGGATTCATGGGACATGGTTTGCTCTTCTATCACTTGCTTCACAATTTCTGCCAGTTTTAGTCGATCTACTTTATCTGTGAATCCACGACCTGAAATGCAAAAAAGGAAAAAGTCAGTCTCCAAACGTGTAGAGGTGAGATTCTTGACAGGGACCCAATAAGGTACCCATATGGTGTACGACAGGGGCTCTGCAGGGTTGAATCGGCAGCACATAGTTTATCTGAATTCTGTGAAACAAGTGAAAGGCCAGATGTCCAGATATGCCTGTGCAGTTAATGTAGGAATAACCCCCGTCCCATAATACCCCATAATACCCCACTCACTCTCTAGCCTCACTTCACTTCAAAACAGCCCCAGCTCAGCCCCCAGAGATCCTCCATGTTCTACACATAATCACTGCATCCATGGAGAAAGGAAGAATTATTTTCCTACCATTCCAGCTGAAGCTTTGCAGAGTATCTCTTAGGAGTTTGCATTCCCGGTTATACTTCCAAGCCTCCTGCATTACTTCATTCAACTTTTCATCTTCATTCTCTCCTATTGATAAAGATGAAGAAGTTGTGTTTTCCAGTGGCATCATGGGATTTTAAGTGTCAGAGATGGAAGGACACAATCTCCAACTTATTGAGAAGTGATGAGTAAAGGTGCAAACTTTTGACACTGCTGTTACTAGCAGTCCCTACATTACATATAGGCCGCTTCTGGGCTTTGCACTCTTCTACTCTGACAGCCTCACACAAATCCTCTGATGTCCCCGGGGTCTCAGCACTAGGGTATGGGAAGTAGACAGAGTCAGACTCTGCGGCTGAGCAAAAACACATGATTAATCTAAGAGACCAAGAGAAGAAGGGAGAACAAGGCTGAGTGGACCACCTTCTTTCTCCTAAGCTCATTTCTTACTTTGGAAGCTATCTAAGTACACTATGTGAATTCTCTGAAAACCTAAGGAAGTTAGACAGTTTTCTGGCTTCCTACTTCAGGCATCTCCTTCATCTGCTCTGCTTCAAGAGCCCATTACACCCCACTGAGTAAAGAGAGACTATACTAAAAGAAAGCTCTCACTCAAAAGGAGACACGTACAAGTCACACTCTGGCCATGATACACAAAGCAGCAGGGGCCACTTCTGAACTTCTGGGAGGTACTCTCTTTATATTCACAAGTGAATGATAGCCTTGCACTCTAAAGGCTCTGGAAATGTTTTCTGACCTTCACAAGCTGATCGTGACCCTGTCCACATTTTTCATTCTTCATCTTCTGTCCTGTGCCCTCGTTAACAAACTAAGAAAACACAAAATTGCATGCTGCACCAGACACTGGTAATTAAACCTCAACTAGCAGTTTCACAGAAAACCAAAGGAGGGGCAGAACTTACCACCTTTCTGAGTTCCCACTGCCCTCTCTTTTCAATGGGCACAGAATAATTTATATAATGTACTTATTTTCTTATAACACAAAGATGAGAAAGACCACCTCATATTAAACTGCTCCTTCGATCATGTGCACGCACGCACGCACACACGCGGAACATTCATAAATGGAGTGACCTTTACCAGCCTGGGGGAGAATACATTGAGCAATCACATCTCGGAGCTTTTCCAAGGCAACATTTGAATCCTCGGCTCCATTCTCACGGTCATGGATATAAACACCGTCCTTTGGCTTGGTGCTTTAAAAGTTTGGAAGAGAGGGAATAACAAGGTGAAACCTCAGAAACCAACTCTCCACAGAAGTTAACTCTAAACATAAGGCAGCACATTTTTCAGATAAATAATTAACTATAGAGTGTCTCCAACTTCTGATGCTATTTAAAGGGCTTATCCTTTCCACCATCTTAAGAGGCAGCAAAAAGGCAAACCCCTGGCTAACCTTTCAGAACCCTGCACTCAGCCATACCAGCCATGGAGGAAAATCCACAGAATAAGCTCAGTTACCCGAGTAATTTCCTCTTCCTCAGAATGGGGTTGTTCACAGAGTGCAGGGGTTTGAGGCTGACTTTCAGATCCTGGATTCTCATGTTGGCCAACTGTTCCGCGTGAGCCTGCTGGATTCCTGCAACCACCGCCTGAATGTAAACACTATCATCAGTTTTCACACTCACTTCAGGGCACCTAAAAAGCTAATCTAAGAAACTGTGAAGGAGAAGCTCCAAGAACTAAGAAGGCAATTTCACTGTTATGCTGGCAGGACACAAATTTTGATAAGTCAGAACATTCTTCATGGATCAGCAAGCCCAAGGGCCTTACAACAGCTAGCCCTTCCTCCCTGCACAGGGACAGAAATGCAAGTAAGAAATACTAAAAAGAGTCATGTTCACAGTCATTGGCAAGAGCAAGTGTAAAGAGAGGCATTCATGTACATCAGGGAAAAGGCTGGTAAGCTGCTGACCAAGAAGCCTCCCACAGTGGCATTTATTCACTGCCCCCATGGTGTGGACAGTACTTCAGCCCCGATGGCTCAGAACCCCAAGCACTTCACATGGTAAGCGGGTAGATCTCAGGAACTCATCTACAAGTCAATTAATTTACAATGAGAAATAATTGTCATGGAGTCTAGAACTTTTGAAGCCTGTGTCTTTATGACCAGTGCGAGCTCTTACTATGGGCAGACCAATTAAGGCAGGTAAATAGTCAGCAGAAAGTTTTCTAAGAACAAGGTGAGCCCATGTTTATATTTTAGAAAAGGACAAACTGTGAGTATATGTGTGTCTCCCCAGAAAAAGATTAGGAAGGATACGTTAAGCCAGAGATTACCGCATCTCTGAGGGGTGAGACTGAAGCAGAGGAATGAAAAGGAAATTATGCTTTCTAAAAATATATACCTCTGTACTGTTTTAATTTCAACAATAAAATTTGACAATTTTAAAAAGTAGTTCCCTGTTAAGCATGTGGTTAGATCAGGTCTGAACTTGTTTAAAGGAGCTGTAATAGCTGGCTCTGGCTATATACTCTACCGGAGCTCAGGCTCCATCTCCTAGGCAGCGCTTAGATGGGCACTATTCAACATCTGCATATGTGGCCATTTTTCCACAAAGTTAGCCAACTCACATCATGACTCCATAATTTCTTTAAAAATGGGAATATACTGTCACCTTGCAGTTCAACCTTATGGGCCTCAGGGCCACTCTTTCTCATTAAGAAGATTCTGCATATCCATATTTGGCTTAATTATATACTAATTCTACAGTAACTCTAGAAAGGAATCTTATTTCTTCAATTCCAAGATTTTGAGGAAAGCCACACTGTAACCCTCATGTGCTGACCTAAGCAATCCCTTAGGATTTTGGACTGATCAAACCAATTCCGGACTTCTAGGCATATTTAAACCAGAAAGAGAACCACACACAAATCAGAGATGGCAGAGAACTTTGTTCCTTCCAGCTTTCTTTCCCATACTCCAGCAAAACTAAGGGAGGTCTCAGAATTTTTTTTTTCCAGGGTGCCTGGGTGGCTCAGTCGTTAAGTGTCTGCCTTCGGCTCAGGTCATGACCCCAGGCTCCTGGGATCGAGCCCCACATCGGGCTCCCTGCTCAGCGGGGAGCCTGCTTCTCCCTCTCCCACTCCCCCTGCTCGTATTCCTTCTCTTGCTGTGTCTCTCTCTGTCAAATAAATAAATAAAATCTTAAAAAAAAAAAAAAACGAATTCTTTTTTCCTGGGACATCTGGGTGGGTCAGTCGGTTAAGCATTTGACTTCGGCTCAGATCATGATCTCAGGGTCCTAGGACTGAGCCCCATGGTGGGCTCCCCACTCAGTGGGGAGTCTGCTTGTCCTTCTCCCTCTCCCTCTGTCCCTCCCCGCCCTTTGGCTCCTGCTCGCTCTCTCAAATAAATAAAATCTTTAGGAAAAAAAATTCTTTTTTCCTGTTCCCTTATTCTTTCTTACACTTCAATCCCCCTCCCTTCTAAGTGGGTAAAGCATATGCCTGTGTCTCTGCCTTTACCTCTCAGCCACACTACGGTCCCACACGACACATCTCATTCATCTGCATGTCCATCTAAGCAATATCTAAAACCTAAGAGACTTCCCTTGACCTAAACCAGCCTCCATCCTGATTTCCCGCTATTTGTCAATGTTATCACTAGATATGATACCCATTGTCCCCTTATCTAGTAAGTCACCCCAAATTATAGAAATTTGTCTTCAAAAATACTGAGCCTGGGGCGCCTGGGTGGCTCAGTCGTTAAGCATCTGCCTTCGGCTCAGGTCACGGTCCCAGGGTCCTGGGATCGAGCCCCGCACAGGGCTCCCTGCTCAGCAGGAAGCCTGCTTCTCCCTCTCCCACTCCCCCTGCTTGTGTTCCTCTCTCGCTTTGTCTCTCTCCACCATATAAAAAAAAATCTTAAAAAAAAAAATATATTGAAACTATTCACTTGTCTCTACTTCTCTGCTCCCAGAGCTGCTCCCAGGCTTGTCGATTACTGCAGAAGTCTTAGGTTGACAAGTCTGCAAGTCTGGTTGACCATCCCTAAATACCTTCCTTGTGGCAAATCTCTTCTCCAAAATTGACAATGGCCTCTCAGTTATGTCCTACTAAGACTTAAGTCCCTCTGTGTGCTTTCAAAGCCTGGCCCTGCCACATGTATTTCATTGACTTCCCATTAATGAAGCCAGGTGGTTTTCCCCATGGATGCACTTCTGTAATTGTTTGCTCCTGTCGCTCACTGCACCTGGCCATGTATGTTAAAAACTGCCATGCAGTAATTAATAAATATGAGGGGTTTTGCCTTCTCTTTGGGAACCCTTCCCTAATTACAGCCCTTCAAAGATGTTCACTTTTTCTGAATTCCCATAGCGTTCGTAGAAAATGTAGCATGCAAAGCTCTGATGTCTGAAATGTTCCCTCCTTGTTTCACATAAATTGGTCTTTCCAGTCTTGTTTAAGCCCCTCGGGGGAAGGGAGGTTGTCTCATAGTACTCCATGCCCCTCAACCCCGAAGCACAAATATGGAGGGTTTGCGTTTTCACTTAGTGTATATTTACCGGGCCTTGATCTGGTCTTTTACGCAAAGAAGCTTTTATTTCAGACCCTGATTTTCAGGAAAACAGGGATGTCTCTCTGGGAAAGACTGAGTTCTCTGCTCTGCCTTTGACCCCTCCCCGAGCCTTGTCTCAGCATTCCTTCTCAACACAGCCTTTTTGGTGAACAAAGTAAGTATCATTCAAAACCTTATCCATCATCAGTTGAGCAGAGGGTAGCACATTATCCAAGGCCTCAGTCGAGTTGAGCCACGGGTGGTCCAATACTCCCTCGATGGTGAGTCTTTCCTCTGGTTTGACCTTCAAGAGCCTGTGGAGAAAAGGCCAACAGGGCTGCCATGCATAGTTGCTTCCAGAAGGCCAGGAAGTTCCTGGGTCTGGTATTAACCAGCTCCAATTTCTGACTTTCTACCAACTCCTACAAGCCTAGGCTTTCCATCTGTAGGCAGGAGTGGGAATCTAGTACCTAACCCCTAGTGGTGAAGGCACTGTGTCCTTTGGTAGTCCTTTCTACACTAGACAGAGTGAGATAAACATGGTAGGATAAGGCTTAACCCAGTGATACTTCAGACTGAGTTCTAGGTTCAATAAGCCTACATACAGTTTATAGTTCCTGAGACTTGAATCTCCACATCCATGTTTTTAGGACAGTGGGCTCCAATTTCCAAAAGGGACGCAAAGTGCTCTTTTGGCTGACAGTGGCTACAAAATTAGTTGAGAGGTCATGTGGTTATGAAAATCTAGGTTGCTACTTGTGATAAAACTGTTAGATGTCACCATATGGCAGGACATGAACCCTTTATTCCAGAAACATTCAAAAGCCAAAAAATCTAAAGTCTCTGATAAGGGGATGGCATTTCCTTCTAAGCCGAATGTATTTCTCTGTACCATCTGCTTTTTGATCCTACTTCTTCACATCTTGTCCATTCGTGCTGATGCAATTCTTGGCCCACCTCAGCATGTTCCCTGGGCTTTTTAGCCCCTCCTTCCAACTACACATCCTCCCATTGTAAACGTCAGTCAGGACAACATGTGTACTTGCTCTTTCAGGTTCTCTGCAACCTTCTGGATCATTCTGAACAAACAGCTTCAGATTCTGAAGAAATGATTATTTAGAAAAGAATCCCAAAGCTGAAAGAAGATAGTATCACTCTAGGGACAGGAAATATATTCTCTAGAACTGACAAAGGGGGCGCCTGGGTGGCTCAGTTGCTGGGCGTCTGCCTTTGGCTCAGGTCATGACCCCAGAGTCCTGGGATGGAGCCCTGCCTCCCTCTCCCACTCCCCCTGCTTGTGTTCCCTCTCTCGCTGTGTTTCTGTCAAATAAATTAAATCTTAAAAAAAAAAAAAAGAATTGACAAAGAACCACTTAGAGAATATTGATGTTTTGATTAAGTAGCTGAGAATACAGTGTGGAAACAGCATGGGAAGGCAAGTGATGCTTGAAACATTGTCTCCACCCTCCTAAAAACTTTTACTTATATATTATAGAAACTAGTCCTTCTTTATATACATAGATCCTTAACCAACAGGACAAGCTCTCTATTGAAAGGGAGTAATCTCCATAGAGAAATGGCTGTACTGTCAGGAGAAAGTTCCCAGGCACTCCCCCTTTGATGCTTATCTTCATCATATTACTGATGAAGAAACTGAAACCAAAAGAGAAAAATGACTCAGTGAACACCAAGCAGCAGGAATACCAGAAGAGTGCCCAAATCCCAGGCAGCTGAGACTCCCACACAGGTGGACAGGAAAAGCAAATATACGTCAAATTTAGATCTGACTTCTTACCTAGTCCTTCAGCTACCAAAGGACTCTGACTGTCAACTCTCCCTCACCCACTCACTAGCACTAAATCTTCTAAATCTATCTTAGCAGTTGGGGAGGTTAGACACCCATAAATTTAGCCATCTACTCCCGACAGCAGCCAAGGAATGAAAAGCCAAAATGTCATTGTCATCTTAGCCTGAGTTCAGTTCCTGGAACCATGTCTGTTCCACATGACTGGCTAACATGCAGGAACGGCATACCATGGGGCTTACCACTTAAGGTCCTAAATTAATGCTCCAAGGCACCTGGGTTCACAACCCTTGGGACAAATTCTAAGAATGCAACAAGAGAGAGCAAAGCTCCATTTTCACCAAGGTGTGGACATGAAGAGCTCTCATCTCAAGCTCCAGGGATAAGATTTCTATGATGCACCAATGGGAAGGAGCATGCCTGGGAAACCAAAGACTTTTCCCTTGTGATCCACCACCTTAAGGCCTCCTTGGCCTCCCCACCCCACAGCCTGGGGACTCACTTCCTCACAACATCTTTGGCCATCTCTGAAATCTGGCTCCACTCTTCTTCTGGGAACTCAAAACTGCCTGTCATGATCTTTCTCCGCATATCCTTTGGGATAGTTCGGCTGTGGTGTTTGGAGTAAAAAGGAGGGTATCCGCACAACATCACGTAGATAATCACCCCTAGGGACCACAAGTCACAGCTCTGAAAGGAAAATGAAAATAGTCACTTACAGCAGAGGCATAGCCCCAAAATAAAGCCCCCAGGACCAGCCCAGAAATAGCCCCTAACATACACAGGCTGATATCTCCAAAAATCACTTAACAGAGACTGGAAGTGTCAGGAAGTCTTAAGGGAACCAACCTTTCTTTCTATCATAGGTTTTCTATGTCACCAACACTACATATATACACACCAGCATACAAGGCCAGTCTAGGGTGAAATAAACAGTCACTTTTATTCTCACTGCTCAGGCCCAAGCTACTAGCTGATCCTTGGGCACAGGTATAGGATACTTCATCTCCAGCTAGAGAAATAACAGATATAAGCCAGCTGGTTGGGAAACATGTACGCTGTCAATCTGGGCAGGGTTGAGGGTGCAGGCACAAAGCAGCTAAGACACAGGTAGGCTGACCCCATAATACAGCATAAGTCATTTTGTAAAGGCCCAAAGCAGTTTGACACAGATCAGGAAGAGGCAGTAGAGGGAAGTACAAGAAGTCTAAAAGCACTCCTTTGGCCACAGATGACTCACTGTACCCATTGCCAGGACCATACACCATTCTTGGAGAAGATATGAAAGAAAGAAGACTGCCACCAACTATTTTGTCTGTAGGTATTAGGTGCCTTCATGAGCTACAGTCACAGCATGGTTATTAATAAAGGACTCCTAATTTAGTTAAATGCAGCTCTACCTGCCTCAGAAACTGGATCCTCAGAGCTTCAGTTCAAGCCTGTCTTGAATCACAGGATAAAAAGTGTCTGCCTGAGAAAGGCAGCCCAGGGAGTCTACCACTGTGGCCACATGCTCTCGCCATACCACAGCTGTGTCCTACTGATAGAAGTCTAGAAAATGGGATGTCTCAGGTACTCCCACCCATGTTTTTGCATCATACTAGTGGGTATTTGTAAACGACATGACCCATGCTACAGAACATAATTATAAAATTATAGAGGTGAGGTGCCTGGGTGGCTCAGTTGGTTAAGTATCTGCCTTCGGCTCAGGTCATGATCCCAGGGTCCTGCTCAGCGAGGAGTCTGCTTCTGCCTCTGCTCCTCATCCCGCTCATGCTCGCTCTCTCCCTCTCTCTCAATAAATGAAATCTTAAAAAAAAAAAATTATAGAGGTGAAAGGAATCTTAAAAATAGTTCAAATTGGGGCACCTGGGTTGCTCAGTCGGTTAAGCGCCTGCTTTCAGTTCAGGTCATGATCCAGGGTCCTGGGATCGAGCCCCACATCAGGCTCCCTGCTCAATGGGGAGCCTGCTTCTCCCTCTCCCTCTGCCTGCCGCTCTGCCTACTTGTGCTCGTGCTCGCTCTCTCTCTCTCTCTAATAAATAAATAAAATCTTAAAAAAAAAATAGTTCAAATCCCTCACTTTCCACATGAGGAAACTAATACTTTTTTTTAAGATTGATGTAGTTATTTAACTTCTAAAAATTTAATTACATCTTATTACAGATTTTTGTTAAAATATTATTTGCAAATGTAGCATTCAGTGTTCACTTAGTTGCCAATATAAAGAGGATTATCTCTAGACTAACATATATACACATTCAAAAGTAATATGAGCTGTTTATTATTCCAACAGGCTACTCATCTGCAGTGTGTAATTTTTATGAATGCCATGCTAACTCAGCACCACTAGCGGTTCACAAAATGGAACAGGAAAAGAAGACAAAAATACTACTGGAAAATAACGTATCATACAAGAATCCATTGCATTCATGCTGAGAAAATTTCGCAACTAAATTAACGTCATCTAAGTGCTTCTACCACTCACTTCCTGCATGCATCAAGAAGTGGGAAGCAGTTTCTGACTCTGAGGCTGTAATCAGCACAGCCCTCAAACCTTCACTACATAAGGGTAGAGCTGACTATGATTTTGAGTTTGTAGGGCAAGAAGGTGTGGATCAGTGACTTCTTGGGGACTGACCAGTGTTACTCATGAAAGTAGGTGTTTCGGGTTCTTGGTTACACTGTGCCAGTGACAGGGTAGAGCACAGGGTCCTGAGCAGCAGAGGAGCCTGGGTGTTCTCTCTGATGTTTGCCTGTGTGCATGTGTGTGCACGCGCTATAGGAACATGTGGGGCCCTAAAGTGTGGGACCCAAGAAGATCCAACCTACTGCCTTTTTACCACCCTCAGGTCCCTCTCTGTCATCTATATTCAGCCATGAGTCCCCAAGAAGCATCATTTTTTTTTCCTGATCCACTCAGCGACTCCAGAACCTGCTTTAAGAGGCCCTAATCCTCTTGTGTTTTAGAACAGAGATGCTTGATGTGTAGGCTACAGACTGAGAACTATAAGACCAGGAATACTTGCTGTTGTGTTGCAGACAGTGTTCTAAGTTGGGTATTTTACGGGAAGAAAGAACAGTACCATAAATGGCCATGGACACCTCAAAAAAAGCAAGACAACCATGTCTTTTAAGTGTGGTCAGTGGACTACAACTACCCAAATAAATAACCTACAGGTGACCATTGCCCTTGGTTCCTGCTGCAAAACCTCAATTGTTAAGAACCTTATTTCATATTTCATCAGACAAAAAAACCCGAATTCCAAGATCTTCTACATGTGTAGCTGCTGCTAGCCTTTTGGACAGGAATATTAAGGGATAAGAATTCCCTTAGAATTCCAAAGAATTCATTCCCAAAGAACCACAAACACCTCACAGGAGAGGTGCTTTGCTACACCTGAAGCGTGCAGGTATCTCTTCCCCTACCTTGTTGTAAGTGTAGGGTGTTGGCGAGGTAGGTATGATGCCAGATTTCTCCTTCTGATGCCTTCTCTGTGCCTCCAATACCTGTCAGAGTCAGACCAAAGGGGACAATTTACTGAAAACCACACCAATGACCTACAACTTGAGAAAGAATGTTGAAAAAGAATGCTGAAGGAGAGTAGACACTGGCAGTTAACAATTAAAAACAAAACAAACCCCAACCCTCCAGAAAACACAAACTTTCAAAAACCTTCTTTCCCTCTTATAACCAGCAATTTATCAGTTTTTGCCCAGGTCAAGGACACGAAGAGCAAGTCCTTGGAAGAGATTTAACTCTTCTTCCTGCCCATCAAGGCATCCGAGATCATGGACTTTTTCCTGGAGACATAGACATCCCTTATGCCTGTATAAAAGCAGACCAGTGCTGGCCAGTGAATCAGGTTCAAGGTACTTGTTGCCATCAAGGATTATAACAGTCATGTTGGTCTGGGTGTTAAGTGTTCCAGGAGGCAACCACTGCCATCCATGGGGCCATCATCCTGGCCAAGCTCTCCACTGTCCTGTGCAGTGAGACCCCTGGGGGAACAATATTGGCATGCCCCGCAGATTCCTTGCAAGATGACAGGATGCTGCAACTATGCACTGGTCTGCTTCCTCCTCACACCCAGACCCATGCTATGGTCTTAGCCCCACGCCCACGAAGCTGCTGATGGCAGATGTTCACAACTGCTACACCTCAGCCAGGGGCTGCAATGTCACCTGGGGCAACTTTGCCAAAGCAACCTTCGATGCCATCTCCAAGACCTACAGCTGCCTTACCCCAACACTCTGGAAAGAGACTGTGTTCACCAAGTCTCCCTGTCAGGAATTCACTGACCATCTTGTAAAGACCCACATCAGAGTCTCCATGCGGAGGACCCAGGCTCCAGCTATGGCCACCACATGGTGTTTTTATATAAGAAGAGTAAAGCGAATTAATTAAACCTGAAAAAGAAAATACCATTTATAATAGCACCATAGAATAAATCTTAACAAAGATGGGAAAGACCTGTACACTGAAAACCACACAAATATTGCTGAGAAAAACTAAAGGCAAAAATAAATGGAGCAATACAGCTTGCTCATGGGCTAGAAGGCTCAGTATTGTTCAGATGTCAGTGTCCTCATATTGAACCATAACTCTAAAAGAACCCTAGACAAAATTCCAGCAGGCTTTTTTGTAGAAATTAACAGCTGTTTCTAAAGTTTATATGGGGGCGCCTGGGTGGCTCAGTTGGTTAAGCATCTACCTTCAGCTCAGGTCATGATCTCAGGGTCCTGGGATCCAGTCCCATGTCGGGATCCCTGCTCAGCGGGAAGCCTGCTTCTCCCTCTCCTCCCCGCTCATGCTCTCTGTCACTCTCTCTGTCTCTCTCTCTCTCAAATATTAAAATCTTAAAAATAAAAGTTTATATGGAAATGCAAAGAAATTAGAATAGCCAAAACAACTATGACAAAGAACTGAGTTGGAGGGCTAACACTACCTTATCTCAACAGTTATTATAAAAAAAGTTATTATAAAGCCACAGTAATCAAGACAGTACAGTATTGGTGTAAAGACAAAGATCACGGGAACAGAACAGAAAAACCAAAATTAAACCCACACATATACATTCAATTGATCTTTGACGAAGATTCAAAAGCAATGCAATGGAGAAAAGATAGCCTTTTCAACAAATGGTACTGGAACTAGATATCCAAATCCTAAAAAAAAGAACTTAGATTCATATTCATACATTATACAAAAATTAAATCAAAATGGATCATGCATATAAATGCAAAACCTAAAACTATTAACTTGTAGGAGGAAATCTTGGGTGATCTTGGGTGAGACAAAGATTTCTTACACAGGAAACCAAAAGCTGAGCCCATAAAATATATATATATATATTTTTTTTTTTTTTAAGATTTTATTTATTTATTTGACCGAGAGAGGGAACACAAGCAGGGGAAGAGGGAGAGGGAGAAGCAGGCTTCCCACCCAGCAGGGAGCCCGACACGGGGCTTGATCCCAGAATCCTGGGATCATGACCCGAGCCGAAGGTAGACGCTTAATGACTGAGCCACCCAGGCACCCCCATAAGATATTCTTAAAAATTGGTAAATTGTGGGGCGCCTGCGTGGCTCAGTGCATTAAGCATCTGCCTTCGGCTCAGGCCATGATTCCACGGTCCTGGGATCGAGTCCCGCATCGAGCTCCAATGTCAAGGGGGAGCCTGCTTCTCCCTCTGCCTGCCGCTCCCCCTGCTCCTGCTCTCTCTCTGACAAATAAATAAATAAAATTTTTTAAAAAATCAATTAATTTATCATATTAACAAAATAAAGAAGAAAAATATATTATCAGCCTAAGATGCAGAAAAAGCATTGGACAAAATTTAACACATTCCCTTTCAGTAAACTAGGAATAGAAGGAAACTTCCTCAACCCGAAAAAGGGCATCTACAAAAATATAACAGTTAATATGGCTAATGGTAAAAGATTGAACATTTTTTCTAAGATCAGGAATGAGGCAAGGAGGTCTGCTCTAATCCCTTATATTCAGCTAGTGGTCCCAGCCAGTACAATAAGGCAAGGAAAAGAAATAAAAGGCAGACATACTGGAAAGAGCAAAGTAAATGTCATTATTCACAGACATGATTTTGTATGTAGAAAATCTTAACAAATCTACAAAAAATCTATAATTGGTAAGTGAATTTAGCAAGATACAAGGGATCAAAAGTCATTTGTATTTCTACAAACTAGCAACAAACAATTGGAAAATGAAATTGTTAAAAATATAATTTCCAGCAGCATCCAAAAATATAAAATATAGGAATAAACTTAAGAAAGTATGTACAAAACCTATGCACCAAGAAATATAAATATTTCTGAGAAAAATTAAAGACTTAGAGAGATCTACCATGTTCACTGATTGAAAGACTTAATAATGTTAAGAGGTCACCTTTCTCCAAATTCATCAGCAAATTAAACACAATCCAAATCAAATCCCAGGAGATTTTTTCCGTTATAGAGAAGTGATTTCTAAAATTTATAGAAAAGTGCAAAGGGTTCAGAATAATCAAAACATTTTTGAAAAAGAATAAATTTGAAGAACTTCTTACACTATCTGATATCTGAGATCAAGACAATATAAAGCTACAGTAATCCACATGATATAGCTGTAAGGGTAGATACATAAACAGAATAGAACAGAATAGAAGAGACTAACACATATATGGTCAACTGATTTTTTTTAAGATATTCATTCATTCATTCATTCATTCATTTGAGGTGGGGAGGGGCAGAAAGAGAGGGAGAGAGAGAATCTCAAGCAAACTCTGCGATGAACCCAGAGCCTGACGCAGGGCTCCATCCCACAACCCTGAGATCATGACCTGAGCCGAAATCAAGAGTGGGATGCTTAACTGACTGAGGTACCCAGGTGCCCCTGGTCAACTGATTTTTGACAAAACTGCAAGATAATTCAGTTCAACAAAACTGTAAGGTAATTCAATGACACAAGGTTATTCTTTTCAACAAATGATGTGGAAACCTGACATGCATAAGGAAAAAGAACTTTGACCCTTATTTTACACACACATACACATACACACACAGAGACACCACCCATCAAATGAATCACAGTCCAAAAGGTAAAAGCTAAAACTATAGGGGGACCTGGGTGGCTCAACTGGTTAAGCATCTGACACCTGATCTCAGCTCAGGTCTTGATCTCAGGGTCATGAGTTCAAGTCCTGTGTTGGGCTCCGTGCCAGGCATGGAGCCTACTTAAAAAATGTGGGGGGAGGCACCTGGGTGGCTTAGTCGGTTAAGTATCCAACTTTTGTTTTTTTAAAGATTTATTTATTTATTTATTTGACAGAGAGAGAGAGACACACAGCGAGAGAGGGAACACAAGCAGGGGGAGGGGAAGAGGGAGAAGCAGGGAAACTGAGCAGGGATCCCGATGTGGGACTCGATCCCAGGACCCTGGGATTATGACCTGAGCCGAAGGCAGACGCTTAACGACTGAGCCACCCAGGCACCCTAAGTATCCAACTTTTGATCTCGGCTCAGGTCATAATTTCAGGGTCACGGGATCAGGCCCGGAGTCAGGCTCCATGCTCAGTGGGAGTATGCTTTTCTCCCTCTCCCCCTTCTGCTCGCTAACACTCTCTCTAAAATAAATAAATAAATCTTTAAAAAAAAAAGGCTAAAACTATAACCTTTAATAAGAAACCATGAGAAGAATCTTCATGTACATGGGTATGGAAAGACCTCTTAGGAACAGAATCACCAACCATTTAAAAAAAAAATGGGTGAGAGGCGCCTGGGTGGCTCAGTCGGTAAAGCATCCAACTCTTGTTTTCAGCTCAGGTCATGATCTCAGGGTTGTGAGATCAAGCTCTATGTCAGGCTCCATGCTGGACATGGAGCCTGCTTGAGATTCTCTCTCCCTCTACCTCTGATCCTCTCTTCTTTTCCTCTCTTTCTCAAAAAATAAATAAATAAATAAAAGGGATGAATTGGATTTGATCAAAATAAAAAAGTTCTAGGGTGCCTGGCTGGCTCAGTTGGTGGACCATGAGACTCTTGATCTCCGGGTTGTGAGTTAAAGCCCCACATTGGGGGGCGCCTGGGTGGCTCAGTTGGTTAAGCGACTGCCTTCGGCTCAGGTCATGATCCTGGAGTCCCACGATCAAGTCCCACATCGGGCTCCCTGCTCGGCGGGGAGTCTGCTTCTCCCTCTGACCCTCTTCCCTCTCGTGCTCTCTGGCTCTCATTCTCTCTCTCTCAAATAAATAAATAAAATCTTAAAAAATAAATAAATAAATAAATAAATAAATAAAGCCCCACGTTGGGAATGGAGATTACTTAAATAAATAAATAAACTTTGGGGCCCCTGGGTGGCTCAGTCGTTAAGCATCTGCCTTCAGCTCAGGTCATGATCCCAGGGTCATGGGATCAAGCCCCACATCGGGATCCCTGCTCAGCTTCCCTGCTTCTCCCTCGCCCACTCCCCCTGCTTATGTTCCCTTTCTCACTGTGTCTCCCTCTGTCAAATAAATAAATAAAATCTTTTAAAAATAATAAAATTAATTAACTTTAACAAAAATTTAAAATTTTTTAAAAAAATAACCTGCTGCTATTCTGAAAAGCAAGCCACAGTCTGAGAGAAATATTCATAATATATATGTGGTGGGCAGAATAATGGCTTCCCAAAGACATCCATGTTCCAATCCCTGGAATCTGTGAATATGTTACCCTACACAGCAAAAGGGACTTTGCAGATTTTATTAAATGGAGGATCTTGAGATGGGGAAGTATCCTGGATTATCTGGGTGTATCTAATGTAATCACAATTATGAAAGGGAAGCAAGAGGGTCAGAGTCAGAGAGATTAAAAGATGCTATGGTACTGGCTTTGAAAATGGAGAAAGACAGGATGCCTGGGTGGCTCAGTCAGTCAAGCATCTGCGTTCAGCTCAGGTCACGATCCCAGGGTCCTGAGATGGAGCCCTGAATCGGGGCTGCTCGATGGGGAGCCTGCTTCCCCCTCTGCCTGCCCCTCCCCCTGCTTGTGCTCTCTCTCTGACAAATAAATAAAATCTTTAAAAGAAAAAAGAAAGAAAGAAAATGGAGAAGGAGGCCACCAACCAAAGAATGCAAGTGCCTCTTGAAGCTGGAAAAGGCAAGGGAATGGATTCTTCCCTAGAGCTTCCAGAAGGAACACAGTCCTGACAACACCTTGAACCGTTTCAGACTTCTAGCCTCCAAAACTGTGAGGAAATAAATGTGTTGCTTTAAGGCACTAAGTCTGTGGCAATTCATCACAGTAGCAATAAAAAGTAATACATATATACAACAAAGAACTTGTATCCAGAAAATAATAAGAACTTTTTATACCTCACAATTATAAAACCAAAAATGGGCAAAAGATTTATACCTGTACTTCACAAGAGAATGTTTTACCCATATTTCACAGTAGAATGTCTAATAAACACATGAAAAAATACTCAACAGTAACTATTAAGAAATCATTATAATTAAATCCATAATGAAATAATACTGTGGACCTACCAGAAAAACTAAAATTATATATACTAACAAACATGAATTGATGGTAAGAACATGAAGCAACTGGAACTCTTATATTACTGGGGAATAGGTAAAATGGTACAACCATTTTGGAAAAGATGTCCCCCAAAACTTGTAAATGAATGTTCCTAGCAGCTTTATTCATAATAGCCAAAAATAGAAAACCCAAAATGGCCATCAGTCAGTGAATGGATAAACAAACATGGCTTAGTCCTCTATGATAGAATACTACTTAACAACAAAAAGGAACTAACTGCTGATATATGCAGCAACATGGATGAATTTCAAACACATACTAAGCAAAAGAAGTAAAACACAACAGGTACATGAGTTCCATTCATATGAATTTCTACAACAGGCAAAACTAACCCATAATGACAGAAAGTAGATCAGTGGTTACCTGGTGCAAACTGACTACAAAGATACACAAGAGTTCCGGACGTGACAGAAATGTTTCGTATCTTGATCGTGGTGGTGACTGTGCAGGAGTATCTATTTGTCAAAACTCATCAAATTATACTTAAAGCATGAGTATTTTATTGTATACAAATCATACCTTGTTTTTAAAACAAGTTGATTTTAAAATAAAATGCCTGCATCTAATTAAGCAGACTGTAGGTTTCTGAAGCTGAGTTCTTCCCTTCCCATTGGTAATACATGCCCACTTGTGCTGTGGAAGAGAAGAACGTGTCTACAGACAGCCCGGTGACACATCCTGTGGCAGAAAGAGCAAATGCTTACCTGAGGTGCAACATAATAAGGGGTGAACTGGGGTGTCATCAAGTCACCTTGGTCAATTTTGGCAAATCCAAAGTCACACAACTTCACTGGGGCATCCTGAAATAAAACAAATGGGAGTCACTGCTCCAGAGTTCTCAATAAACACTAAAAGAAAATCCAGGTGGAAGACAGGTTATCTTGAGCTCTCTCTCACGAGTTTCTGGCTGACACCTGAGCCTATGAATAGCATGTCCTCACATCTGGAGAAATGATTCATACTGAGGAATTTTTCTTAGTAACACAGAGGTAAAGAATTTCTATCCACTCATAATTGGCCTTGTTTCATGACTGGTACATGCAGTACTAAAATCAAGATCTTAACCAAGTGCCCCCTGAATCTATCTACCAGCCCATCATCTCCAATCCAGGGTGCGATTTCACTTTCAGCATCAGCTTCAAGATTGCCCGAGCAACTTATTTGGTGGGACACAGTACATGGGGCAGGGGGTGAGACTAGAGAGAAAAAAACATCTTATCAGCATTAACGAACGGCAAATACAACTATTACACTTCAAGGTAAGTGTAACAGATTCCTGCCCCTTTCCAAAGCACCCCCAAATCATATCCAGAATCTTAAGTCTTAAAAATGTATATCAGTACCATCCAAAACTATCAATGCCAGGGGTATAGTAGAATGTCTCTGAGCCTCTTACAAGGAAACAAGTGGGGAAAGTAAGCTGCTGGAAGCACTTTGGCTTAAAGCCTCTTCACCATGGATTCAGAGAACTCTGAATCTATACCTACACACCCATTCCCGAACTGTGTTGAGAGTGGCAGCACTAAAATGCAGAAAAACAAGTCATCTCACCAAAGAGTTATCCTTGAAGAGCAGATTTTCAGGCTTGAGGTCTCTGTGAGCGATGTTTAACAAGTGACAGTGCTGTAGAGCCAAAGCTATCTGGAAAAGGACATAATGGAGCAACCATATCTTAGAAAAGATAGTTCTTTAATGCCGCTGGCTTAGAGAACTCAGGATATTAAAAAAAAAAAAAATCCTTAATTAAGTCAATTAAGACTGTGGTTGGTTTTCAGTTTTACAGCAGAAATTAAGTAAGACTTTGGGTACCAAGAAATAGAAATGAATTCAGCTTAGTTTAGCTGCAACCTGTATTTCATTAAGCTAAATAAATAAATAAATAAATACAGTAAAACACTTCTTTGTCCAAGTAAACTGATGGGTACCAAGAAATAGAAATGAATTCAGCTTAGTTTAGCTGCAACCTGTATTTCATTAAACTAAATAAATAAATAAATAAAACAGTAAAACACTTCTTTGTCCAAGTAAACTGATGGTTAAATCCTGTACGAAATGGGAAGGACGAAATGCTTCTAATTCCACTCCTCTGAGATGCACCCACCACGGCAGAGTAAACTCTGTGCCGGGCAGTCTTCAGCGGGCCTGGGCTCCCCTAGCAGGGCAGCGGGCGCTAACACCTGGCTCCAGAGAGAACCACACTGTCCAGGGGTTCAACTCCAGGCTCTGCCTTCAAGAAAAATGGAAAGCTGCTAACTGCATTTTTCCACCTGATGTTCCAATTTGCTCATCCCATTTGCTGAAATGAAATGTCGCCTGTTTAGGTGGGTTGGAAGGGTTTTTGTTTTATATGAGATTCTCAGAGCACATCCTAATATTTGAAATCTTTGAAAAATACAAGATGTAATTTTTAAAATTAAATAGAGAGAACAAATTCTACCTGTTCTTCAACTCTCAGTATGGAATTGTCTTGGCATTCCAAATATCAGTTCCCCCCTACCAGAAAGGAGGCATCCAAAAATGCTTAAGGCTCCCGTACACTGTTAGCGCTTGAAGCTGAGGCCGCTGGCTGGCCGCAGTGCTCACAAGCTCAGCTAGTGCGCTACCAGAGGGCCAAGTCTTCTGCTAACACCACAAGAGGCTCTGGCCCAGTGAGCAGAGACTTTGATAGGAATTCTTGCTTTAAGTGAGGGAAAAATGCTTGAGGCTCATGGAAAACTTGGAAGAAATTTTAGAAACCAATTGAACTCTGATTCCTGCTTTCTGCCTTGCTTGCTTGGCCTGAAGATAAGCCTTGTGGAGTTAGCTTGTCACCTCCTCAAGAGGTTATTTTGTTAGAGTCCTAGTATTGTTTGTGACATAAATCATTTTTCTAGCAATAAAATGTGATGTCAAAATAGACTATAATCAGGAATAACCCAGAATTACAAAGACCTTAGAATTCTATTAAAATCTGATGAGGTGACTCATAAGTAAAAAGTATCTTGTATACAATTGTCCCAGAAGATATTTTTATCCCATACAATCTTTCAGGTGTTATCAACAGCAATTTATCTCAAAGTCCAACACTGCTTGGAACACTACATACTCAAAGATATCTACAGTCTACAGAGGAATTAAAAGGTTACCTTTCTTCCAGAGTTTATTTAAATCTTGTAATAGGCAAGCAATTGACAACCACTTAAAAATACAGTCCCCCCCCAAGCATAAAAGGGGTCACATTTCTCCTGTCAAAGCATCTTTTCTGATTACATAACAAAGCAGGCAATGAGAGATCAAATAGAGCTTTTCTTCAAGCTTTCTTTTATTCCCCCCAATGAAATTGTACTTGTTAACCAACATTGTTGGCAGTTTGATTGGTACCCGGGGTTAACTTGCCTGCTTTGTTACTTGGCTGGCTTGCTTCTCTGTAAAGTGCCGGTGCTGGCTGATTCTGTGAAATAGCTCTCCCCCTTCCATCATCTCCATTACAATTAAGAGTCGAGCCCTGTTTGAAAGCATTTGATTTTGTTAAGTTAAAAAAAAAAAAAACTGAAACATCAAATAGCTAACCTAAAGATACCTCATCTACAAAGTGTGTAACTACTTCCTAAGTCTAGCCCTACCATGCCCCTTGGAGTTGGACCCCTTGTCACTATCAACTGGACACTATAGATAAGGAATATCCCTCACCTAAAATTTTCTAAGAAGCTAAGATGAGAGTAAAATAATTAAGTTTTGAAGACAATGATCCTTTTGAAGATACTGGACTTAACTTGTTATTACTAGATGTTAAAGGAGGGGGTGACCTTTTTTTTTTTTTGAAGATTTTATTTATTTATTTGACAGAGAGAGAGACAGCGAGAGTGGGAACACAAGCAGGGGGAGTGGGAGAGGGAGAAGCAGGCTTCCCGCTGAGCAGGGAGCCCGATATGGGGCTCGATCCCAGAACCCTGGGATCATGACCTGAGCTGAAGGCAGATGCTTAACGACTGAGCCACCCAGGTGCCCCGGGGGTGATCTTTTAAGTGACATGTTTTTGTATCATATTTAGGGCAGCTAGACAGAAAGTGTATTGAAAACAGAACATGACTTTGTATAGGACATGAATTTCAAGTCACTTGGCTGGTGTTGGGCTACCTTGGTTATTCACTCTCATTCTTTGTCTATGTCTGTATCTATGTGTGTCTCTCTTCACTCCTTCTTCCCACTATACTAGTTTTCCATGTGACCCACAGCATACCCAGCAAGACAGCTGGACAGGGTTACACAGCTACTAAAGAAAAGCAAAAATTCTCATGTTGTTAAAAAAAAAAAAAAATCAGAATTCTGGTTACCATTCTTTGATATAAATGCTTCCAGCTTCTATCCAAATGCTTTCACCAACAGAGCACAGTTGTTAAGAAATAGTTATGATTTCCCATTTGTTTTTACAAATCCATCTTCTTTCTCCACCTGGAAGACTCCTACCAAGTCCTAGCCCCCACATAACCACTCTGTGAGACACCTCACCTCCCCAGCCTATAGTTAGCAGCTCTCTTCTCCTTTGTAAGCTCAAAATATCTTATGGATGCCTCTCCTTGGTGCCTATCACACTGCTATGAAGATAGGTTTACATCTCAGTCCCCAGTAGAAATCATACCTTATTTAACTTTGAATCCCCTGGAAGACACTTAGAATGCCACCCAGTGGGCTTGCCAAACATTTGGCAGCTAAAAGAATAATGTTGATTTATTCCTTTAAAAGGAATGTCAGACTAAGCAATGAGAGCTTTTTGCCATATCAACTCTAAGCCAGTGCCTAGTAATATCTGGTCCCCTTTCACTAATTTGAAATAGAATCTATTTTAATTCCACATTACATACTTTTTTTTTTTTTAAGAGAAAGTAATCACAATAATCAGGGGGTCCCAAAGAGTGGGTGGGGCATAGATGAAACAAGACTGACAATGAGTTGGCCACCCCAACTGTTGAAGTTGGGTGATGGCTACCTGGGGATTCATTACATAATTCTGTCTGCTTTTACAAATGTTTGAAATTTTCCAAAATAAGAAGAGAAGAGAGAAAAGAGGGAGGGAAGCAGGCAGGCAGGCAGGGAGGGAAGGAGGGATGGAGAGAAAGGGGGAGGGGGAAAGAGAGCACAAAAGAGAGGAAAACCCCACTACACCTTGACCTACATGTACAGAGGTGGACATGTGGTGATGACCCCCATGTAGTCTTACCTGGGGCTGGACTCATGAGGAAACTGTACACTGTTAGCAAACACTTCAATAATTTGAACTATATTTGGGTGTGTGGCACACATCATGTGCAGACGTACCTTAAAGAGAACAGAGGAAACGTATCACCTCACCAACAGATTTACTTTCTACTGCCCTATCCATTAGCAAATGAAAAATCTGGCAAATAACTCATTTTGTTTCAGAAATTATTCATGTATCAAAAAAAATTTTAAAAAAAAGAAATTATTCATGTATCTCTAAGCAAAAGAATACGTCCTCCACTGCACATGTTACTAGTATGTCATCACCACACCCAGATGATTTAAAACAAATGTGTATTTTTTAGAACTAGAAACACATCCTCACAGCCCTCCTGCAGCACACTTACAAGACACTAGTCACCATTCTCCACTCTTTAAGGACCTTGTCCAATAAGTAAAAGCTGAGGCAAACCTGAATACTTCAGGGTATAAGAACCACATTAATTGAAAAAAAACAAGAGGTGGTTTAAAGGAAGTAAGACTGACAGCCTCTGGTACTGATAGATATGGTACCACTTTGTAATGATGACAGGAATAGAGAAAGGGATAAATATGGATATAAAATTCTTTGTGCATCTCTGTATTCCCTCCAGGAAGCTGCCTTACTTGTAAAAAGAATAATTTGTAGGCACTTCCAATATTTAGGCAAATCAAGGCAATAAAGGGTCATACCTCATTTCTAGCTTTTGGACGATCAAAAAGAATTTTCAGTGCAAACCGTTCTTGAGTAGATTTCTTTACACAGACTCTAGATTTGGAGGAAAAAAATTTAATCAGAAATCATCTACGTTACACTGAAAACCAATTTAACAGGTCTGTTCTTTTTAGAACTGTACTTCTAATCAAGAATATATCCGGTGCACCCAAACAAACTTGCCCCTAGGGCTAGCAGGCGGAGAGGCAGAAAAGCCATCTCACTCTCCCGGCACAGGCCTCAGCCACTGAGCCACGTGGGAGCAACCTGAAGAAGGCCAAGGAAGTAATGGCCAAGGATGGCCTCTGCTAGCAACTCTCACAGTAGCTCCACAGCCTCAATATCCTTTTTTTTTTTTTTTTTTGAGAGAGAGACAGAGAGAATGAGGGGGTGGGGGCAGAGGGGGAAGGAGAGAATCTTAAGCAGGCTCCACACCTAGCGCAAGCCCAACATAGCGCTCAATCTCACAACCCTGAGATCATGACCTGAGCCGAAATCAAGAGTCAAACACAACCAACCGAGTCACCCAGGTGCCCCAGTCTCGATATCTTAAATGATTCTGTGTTACAGATCACGTGACTCAGTCACTTAAATATATTTCTAAATGGATGATGAAAAGCCTTACATAAATATGTCCACTTGTTAAATTAAAGCTATTTCACAAATCTGGCACACCTGATGCTTCTAATGTACGACGTATGTCAAATGGCCCTTTGCGGAGCAATTCTGCCATAGTTTGCATGTCGTCTCTTACCTAACTGGACCACTAATTCCAGCTCCCAGCTTCTGAGTCCAATTGATATTGTATTCCTCTAAAATGGAGGTTTCCTATTAAAACAGAAAAGGGAGGGGGCAGACAATGATTCTCCAATTAAAAAGCCGAATAATTGAGCAAGGTGGGACAACAGAAAACCTTATCACTCACTATCTCATCTTCTAAAAGAAACTGATAAACAGGGCTTTGCATTCTTTTGGCTTTATAATTAGGTACTTCTTCTAAATGACTAAGTTAGGCACTGTTTTCCAGCAAAAAGAAAGCAAACACTTTTGGATAAGAAGAAATTCTTCAGCTCATCCACAAGGTCCATTTTACTCAATGTTTTTCAGGGGGCGGGGGTAGTGTGAGAGAAACATATTCTTTCAAAATGCTTCACTACTGAATATTCAATTGCTAAAATGAAATGGTCAGTATATTTTCTGAGGTTCCAGAAAGACTGCTCTGATACATGCTTCTATGATACAGAAGGCCTATACCCTTGAAGAAGTTGATCAAATTGTTGAAATAACTGAATAAATTGAGACTTAAAAGTTCAAACAAGGTAGCAGTGAATATAATAAATTTATCTAATTTTCAATAGCATCATTTTGAGTACAAAGATATTGTCATATTCATTGTGTAACTATTTTTTATAGTTTTCAGTTGTTTTATTTAGTTTTAATAGCTTCCAATAGTTCCCGATACAGCCTCTATGATTTAGTGAAAGTTTTTATGGAATTCCTGTCTAATCACTATATGCTGAACTCCTGTTGCCATAGGCTTTCAGGCATGAAAGCCATATTTAAGTTATGGCAGGCTAAAATTCATTTTTCAGGGTTCCACAGGAAGAAAAGGAAACCAAATGGAGACCTTGAGAAATTAGGCTGGAACTCATGAGATTTTCAAAGTGTTTTGCTGCAATGAGAATCGAATAGAATCCCGATTCTCAGTACATGGGAACAGGGTATCTGTCCACACTCATTGAGCAGTTGCTATGTGCCAGACACCAGGCTAAGTTCAGAGACAAAAAAACAAGAGCTTCTGCCCAATTAATATGCAAGCATACAAAATATGCTTACAACAGTCATCATCTCCACTTTCCTGCTGCCCAGTTCTTGATAAAGGTTCTCTGCATATAATAAATGCTCACTAACTGTGGAATGAGAGACTAGAAAGGGAGACTAAAGCTCGATGATAGAGGGATATTGACTTGGGAAAGATCAGTTAGATCATTACACAAACTTCCTTCTGAAAAAACTGTACACTGGGGTTAAGGAGCTTGAGGTCACACAGTGAGTTACAGGGACTAATGAGACTAGAATCTATGGCTTTGGCCTCTTCCCTAGCACCGTTCCAGCTATCAGAGTTAACTGCCTTACACGGAAGATCAGGGACAGATCTTGCCCAATCAGGGAGGTCCCAGGCTCTGTCCCCAATCACCACCTTCTAAACAGAATTCAAACCTACCCATTTAATTTGCCTACCTCCTTTATGTTCCCACTGTTTAGAAGTGCTGGAGAAGACAGGGAGGAATACAGGATTGGGAAAGAGGGAGTTGGGAGCATAGTCTAAGCATCATGGTGGAGTAAAATCATTTGCTAAACCCCTCCTTCTCCTCAACTCCAATGAAAACATACACTCATAGGAGATTCGTGGAAAAGAGAGATTTGTTCCATGGAATTATCTGTCATGAACAGATCAAAGGATTGTTCATTTCCCCAGTTCCTGAGATGTGAAAATAACGTTAGACAAAATTCTTCACTGTGCCGGTGCTCATTCAGATGGTACTCTACACAGCCAAGACCGTTCAACTTGTAGAGGCTCTGATGAGGCTCTGACAGGAGTTTTACCACTTGACGTTACAGAAGGTAAGAGAGGCACTACCAGGCCTCTCTACAGCCCTGATTTCTGAACCCTGTTTTCCTTACACTTCTTGTCCTCTTTCCCAGCTTTCATTCTCACACCTTTGTTGATGGTGCCATAAACACTAACCGGTCTAAGGCTTCAAGAAGCCTGGCTGGGGAGGAGAAGTAACAGTCTCAGATCTGTCAACTCTTCCATGTGTGGATGGCCTATTTTCTCACATATTTTAATGACAAGGAGAATATAGGAAGGGATGGGTCAGTTAAAACACTTCACTGAAGTAAATTATGGACTAATTCAAAGGCATCAATGAGAAACACATTGACTGAATTCTGCTAAAGAAATATATATACTGCCTTTAATAAAGATAGAGATACATGGAATGAAGTAATTCTTTGGAATCCTTCTAGACCAAGGGTTAGGAAATCACAACCCACAGGCAAATCTATCCATTGTCTGTTTTTGTAAATAATAAACAAAATATATTTGTGAGAGATATAAAAATAATGATATAGTAAAAAGGTTAACATTTACTGGATTAAAAAAAAAGATCCAACCATCGCTGTCTATAAGAGATATACTTTGGATTCAGAGAAGCAAACAAGTTAAAAATAAAAGGATTTCAATGATTATACTGGGTAGACTGGGTATCCACATGCAAGCAAAAGAACAAAGTTGGACCCTTAACCCCATATACAAAAACTCAGAATGGATCAAAGACCTTAATGTAAGACCTAAAACAATAAAATTCTTAGAAGAAAACATAGGACACGAGTTTTGTAACACTGTATTTGGCAATGATTTCTTGGATAAGACACTAAAGGAACAGGCAACAAAAGAAAAACTAGACAAGTTGAACATGAAAATTTAAAAATTTTGTGCATCATAAAACACTATTAACAGAGTAAAAAAGGCAACCCACATAATGGAAGAAAATATCTGCAGATCAAGTATCTAATAAGGGATTAACAGGGCGCCTGGGTGGCTCAGTTGGTTAAGCAACTGCCTTCGGCTCAGGTCATGATCCTGGAGTCCCGGGATCGAGTCCCGCATCGGGCTCCCTGCTCGGCGGGGAGTCTGCTTCTCCCTCTGACCCTCTTCCCTCTCATGCTCCCTCTCATGCTCTCTCTCTCAAATAAATAAATAAAATCTTTAAAAAAAAAAAAAAAATAAGGGATTAACATCCAGAATATACAACAATTCCTAAAACTCAAAAACAACCTGATTCAAAAAACGGGCTAAGAACTTGAAAAGACATTTTCCCAAAGATATACAAATGGCCAATAAACACATGAAACAATGTTCAGCATCACTAATCATGAAGAAATGCAAATCAAAACTCCAATGAGATACAACCTCACACCCATTAGGACAGCTACTATCAAAAAACAAACAAATAGGGGTGCCTCAGTGGCTCAGTTGGCTAAGTGTCAAACTCTTGATCTCAGCTCAGGTCTTAATCTCAGGGTTGTGAGTTCAAGCTCCATGCTGGGTGTGGAGACTACTTAAAAAACAAACAAACAGAAAATAACAAGTGTTGGTGAGGATATGGAAAAATTGGAACACTTGTGCACTACTGGTGGGAATGTACAATGGTACATTTCCAATGCCAGGGAAGACAGTATGGCAGTTCCTCAAAAAAATTAAAAATAGAATTGCCATATGAACCAGCAATTCCACTTCTGGGTATATACCCAAAAGAACTGAAAACAGGGTCTTCAAGAGATATTTGTATATCCATGTTCATAACAACTATTCTAATAGCTAAAACATGGAAGGGACCTAAGTGTCCATATACATATGATGGAATATCATTCAGCTTTAAAAAGTAAGGAAATTCAGAAACATGCTACAATATGGATGAACCATAAGAATATTATGCTAAGTGAAATAAGCCAGTCACAAAAAGACAAACACTGATTCCATTTTTCTGCGGTGCTTAGAGTAGTCAGTATTACAGAGACAGAAAGGAGGATGGTGATTGGTAGAGGCTGGGGGGAAGGAGGCAGAGGAGTTACTGTTTAATGGGTACAGAGTTTCAGTTTTACAAGATCAAAAAAATTATATGGATGGATGGTGGTGATGGTTGTACAACATTATAAATATATTTAATTCCAGTGAAGCGTACATATAAAAATGGTTAAGACGGTAAATTTTATGATATGAGTAATTTTATTACAATTTTTTAAATGGAGAAAAAAGTAAAAGGATGGAAAAAGACATACCATGAGTAACTATAAGACAGCTGAAGTAGCTATACAGACAACAGACAAAATAGACTTTAAAACAAAAAGATATTAATGGGGCGCCTGAGTGGCTCAGTTGGTTAAGCGACTGCCTTCGGCTCAGGTCATGATCCTGGAGTCCCGGGATCGAGTCCCGCATCAGACTCCCTGCTAGCAGGGAGTCTGCTTCTCCCTCGGACCCTCCCCCGTCTCATGCTCTCTCTCTATCTCATTCTCTCTCTCAAATAAATAAATAAAATCTTAAAAAAATTAAAAAAAAAAGATATTAATAGAGAGAGAGGCACTTTTTATAAAGATGAAAAGGTCAATTCAACAGGAAAATACGAGGATTATAAACACATATGCAGGCACCTAACAATAGAGTCCAAAAATACATGAAGCAAAAATTGACAGAATATAAGAGGAAAATAGATAATTCAAAAATAATAGTTGGAGATTCCAATACCACGACTCTCAGTAATAGAAAAGCTGAACAGAAAATCAGCTGGATGTAGAAGATAACACTGTCAACCAATTTGACCTGACATCTATAGAACACTGCACCCAACAACAGGAGAATATACATTCTTCCCAAGTACACATGGAATATTCTTCAGGATAAATCATATGCTGAATCATAGTCTCAATAAATTTTTAAAAAACTGAAATTATATAAAGTTCTTCAACTATAATGAAATTAAGCTAGAAATCAACAAAAAGTTTAAAATTACATAATATTTCTAAATAATCAATGGGTCAAAGAAGAAATAGGGAAATAAGAAAATATTTTGATCTGAATGAAAATAAAAACACGGGGCGCCTGGGTGGCTCAGTCGTTAAGCGTCTGCCTTCGGCTCAGGTCATGATCCCAGGGTCCTGAGATCGAGCCTCGCATCAGGCTCCTTGCTCCGTGGGAGGCCTGCTTCTCCCTCTCCCACTGCCCCTGCTTGTGTTCCCTCTCTTGCTGTGTATCTCTCTGTCAA